GTAGGCTTTGGGGCTAAACTTAGGGTCCTGGGCGGCAAGAGCATCATGGGTGGTAGCTCTTGTTGGACATTAGTTCAAACCCCTTTTGAATATTCGTTAATATTATTTTTCAGGTTTTGATAAATGACAAATGGAACGATGAAATCAAAACGACAATCGAAAGTTTTATTTTTGACTCGAGAAAGCAAAGAGGCGTATCAAGAAAATTACAACGTTCAATTCAATGCTCACCCCTACGCAAATTTTTTTAGGTGAAGGGAAGATTTCGAAGACTTTTTATTTTTATTGAGTCGTAGGAACAATTGTAAGGATGACAAATATTTTTCACTTAAATAAATTAAATTTTGAGGGATAAATTATTATTTTTTTGAGTCAGTTGAAAAATAAAGTTTTCTCTGTCTAAAACTAATTTTTTTAGATACACAAATTTTTTGTGGTTAAGAAAATAGACTTTAAATATTTTTGTGTACAATGTTTGACACACAAAATATTTTTGGGACTCATTTTCTACACCAAATGTTCACCTTCATAATTCAAAATTGAATTTGAATTATATTTGATGAGATTCGGAGCCTCTTCCTGTGATCTCAATGTCTCAAACAAACCAAAGTGTCCAAATTTACACTTCCACTTACGCACATGCCTTGGGTCCTCCATGTTTGGCGATTATTCGTCAGAGGATCGATCAACCTCTATGGATCGATCACGGTGTGTAGAGTAATCTAACAGTGGATCGACCACCTGCCTCGATCGATCACATTTGTGTCCAAGATTTTGTTCGGTGGATCGATCCAGGGGGTTGGATTGATCCCCTGTGGCTTTGATCAAAATTTTTACCACCTTGTACTCTTGGTGATCAATCATATGCCTTGGATCGATCACCTGCGGTAAAAACCTTCAAAAACATTTCATCTCCATCTCCAACAAATTTATTTTCCTAAACCCTATAAAATCCCTCATCCTCCTTCATTTCATTCACAATTAGCACTCCATTCAATCCTTCTCTTTTATTCAAATCTTGCTTCAATCTTCTCATCAAAATATTATTTTGAGAGTTAAAAAAATATTTTTGTTAAGTGCAAAAGATATTGTCATCCATAAAGCTTTTATTTTAAACACTACTTGGTCAATTGTGTGAGCTTTCATTCTTGTGTTGTTAAACTAAAAATTGTTTATGTTTGGTTGTTGCTAAGACTTGTGTGATTCAAGTCTTATTGTGAGAAGTTAAAGCTTGTGTGGTTCAAGTCTTGTTGTAAGAAGTTGAGGCTTGTGTGACTCAAGCTCTCGAGTTGTAATCGATTTTTCAAGCACCTGTTAAACGTCGAAGTATAGTAGGACATTTGAGAGAGTGTCTCGGAGGACTGGACTAGCCACAATATGGTGAACAAGTATGCATTGTGGTGTTCTTCCTTCCCTTTACTCTTTACATATTTCCTGCAATATTTCATTTCGTTTATCACACACGCGAAAAATGCTCATTCTAGAAAAGAACTCTATTAACCCCCCTCTAAAGTTGCACGTTTTTTCTAATGGCTCTCTCCCTCACCTGCCCAACCTTGAAGCCATAGGAGCCCAAGACCTTGATAACCTTCTTCTCTTACAGATCATGATAGTGGGTCTTGAAGAAGTGCATTGTTGCCTGAGGGGAGGAGAGGAGCTCTCGGGCAAGATCCGTCTGATGCGCCTTTGCCCAATCCACTACCTTGCCCGCGAGGTTGAACTCTTTCAACCCTAAGGATCTCATGATCTAGAAGTTATCTTCCATCACCCGGCGATTCTTCTGCCTGTGCTAGGTGATCTCACCCTCCAGTTCCTTTTTCTCCTTCTCACCCTCCGTAATTTATACTTCATTTTGCATAACGTGAAAAATATTTTGAGAGGGAGAAAGTATAATAATATAAAATGATGGGTGTATTCCCACCCACATATCCGACCCGGGTCGAATACATACAAGGAACGACCTGGTAGCCCGAGAGCAATGCGTGTCAAGGTAGTTGGGCTAAACTATGACCGAACTGATAGGATGGTAAACCACCCAGGTGGTTTGGTACCCGTCCTATCACCGGCCGGTCAGGGATTCTCAAATCACCAAGTCACCCCTTCAAGGAAACCACCCGGGTGGTTGCGTTGAGTGTGTATGTACTAACAGCCTGTCATACTTGGAAGGTAGCGAGTTAGGAACGATCTGGTCACACCAGATTCCCCTGCACTAACGGATACACTCAAGCATTCTAGCCAAATACTACACGCCAAGAGAGACAATTACAGAGCATAATAGCCAGAAAAAGGAGACGAACATTACAAGAGAAAGAGACATCACCTCGTCACATGATTGGCACGTGGCCAGGCATGGGTGCTTGCCATTCTTTCCCCTAGCTTCATTATAAATACACTGGTACCCCTCAATAGAAGGTATCCAAATTCAATCTCTTTTGAACATATTGTGTAATTCCTCCCTATACTCTTCTCATACTTAGTAACAATTGGAGTATAGGTGTTTGCACCTACAGTCCTCTTAGTCAACCTTCATTTTCTGTGCTCTTTCACTCCCTAAACTCAGCAAACAATCCTAGACCGGCCTGGTCTAGAGTAGTTTGCCCGGGTGGTTAGTATATCCCATCAGATAATAATAGAAAAATTAAGAGAAAAGTGCACCGTTTATCCTGAATTATTTAGAAATTGCACAGTTTACCTCTGAACATTAAAAAGTGCATCAAATACCCTTGAGTTCTTCAAAATTGTACAATTTACTCTTGAATATTAAAAAGTGCACAAAATACCTTCTGAACTCTTTGGAAATTATACGGTTCGCTCCTGGATATTTAAATAAAGACGATAATTTTGGAGAAGGATACTTTGGAAAATTCACAAGGACCAGATGAATCATACTCACAATTCTAGTGCATGAGATCGAGCAACACACTACCCATCTAGCATTTTAGGACCAACCTAACGATGCAACTAACGTTTCCAATTGTTCAGGTGTACGTATTTAATGTATTTTTAAATGCTCAAGAGTAATCGTACAATTTTCAAAAAATTTAAAGATAAATGATGAAATTTTAAATATTTAGGGATAAACTATACAATTTCTATAAGATTCGAGATTAAGGGTTGCACTTTTTTCAATAAATGAAATCAATATTCGTTTTCTCGAATCTGACTTCAATTATGTAATGAATAGACAATGAGAATTTATTTTAGATATAACGTCCAGCTATTACATTAGTTATCACGGGATGGGGAATAGTGTATGTTTCTCCCTTTCATTATTTGCAAGCAGGTAAAGGCAGACCACATAAGCACTTATTGTTAGAAAACTTCGCCGGACTGAACTGCTTCAGCCGCCGCCCGACTGGGATCTGCCCGCAGAGTTGGTTAAAGCTCACGTCAATGTTCTGCAACGGCAGCTGCCCGAGCCGTCCGGGCAGGGACCCAAATATCATGTTGTGGCTAATATCAAGATTCTTCAGCCCCGGTGGAAGGTCCACGCCGGAGAAGTCGAACTTGAAATGATTATTGCTCAGGTCTACGGCGCTCAGAACCGTCTTGTGTCTCCCGAACAGGAACGACGCGTCTCCAGTGAAGTTATTGTTGGAGAGATCAAGCACCGTGACGTTGGCGTTGCCGAAGGCGGCAGGAATAGGCCCAGAGAGGCGGTTGAAGGAGAGATCGATGTTTAAATCGGATTTCTTGAACGACCCAAAGCTCGCCGGGATTGAACCGGTAAGCTGGTTTTGGCGGAGGTCGAGCTCGTTGAGGTTCGGGAGTTGAGCAAACAAGCCTGGGATCGAGCCCGAGAGGGCATTGGAGTAGAGGTATAGCTGGACGAGGCTCTTGACCCCGGTCAAAGCAGGCGGGATCGGGCCCAAGAGCTGGTTCGATCCCAGGTTCATGGTACGGAGCTTAGTGAGCCGGCCAAGGGACGCAGGGATCGAACCGGTGAAGGCGTTGGAGGAAAGGTCAATGTCGTCGAGTTTCTTGATTTGGCCTAAAAAATCGGGAATGGGCCCGGAGAGTTGGTTGTTGCTGAAGTCCAAGTGGTTGAGGTGGGACAGCTTGGCAACGGCGAGGGGGATTGTGCCAGTGAGGCCAGGGGTGCCCGATAAGGCGATGAACTCGAGGAACGGGAGGTCTCCGATGGCGGGCGGGATCTCACCCACGATATCAGCAATAGTCACGCCCAACATTATGACGCGACCGTCACTATTGCACTGGATTCCCGACCAGTTCTTGCAGCAGTCTGTGTCGGGGATCCATGTAGCAAAGACGGACGCGTTGTTGAAGTGCTCTTTGATGCCTAATAAGAGTATCTTCTTGTCGTCGGCGTTGCATAACTCCTGGGCGGAGGAGAGGGCGGAGGAGAGGAGGAGGACGATTAAGAGTAATAATGGTGGAGTGTGGGCTTGCATGGTCACGTTGAATTTTGTACTCCGTAGTCTTTAGACAACTTGGTTGGCGTTCAAATTCTATTTATAGATTAGTCTATCTATATATCCCATTCGGTTGACTCACTCGACTTAGCTATTTTGGATACACAATAATTATGAAATTGGTTATTTTATCCCGTCCCATAAATTAGTGTACCTTTTTTTCATGTGAAATTTGCACTCAATAGGACTAAAACATAATGACTTTCTTAATGTAGGACTTAAATTTTTTTATTCCCTAAATAGAACTTAATAATGACCTAGTGGGAGGAATAATGTCAAGTAATGATGGACATTTAGTTGAATAATGACTACTTGATAATGACTAAAGGTCCTACATTGGAAAATATAAACATATGGTCCTATATTGGGAAACTCATTATGTTTTACTCTAATTTAGGTAAATTTCTCTTTTTTCATTCATCCGAAAATAAATTAGTTTTGTTACGGAGTATTTAATTAGGAGAAAAGAAGAGATCTTCTATTCATGTGTCCAATATTAAACGAACATAATAATATAAATGATTTCTTCAATCACATCTATATATTTTACAAAAAAAAATTATACAACTATATTATTGGAGTTTTAAATTTATTATATCCATCCGTCCCAAAAAAATTATCTCATAAATTTTTCTCTATTAAAATTATTTTATTTACAAATTAGCAAAGAAACAAAACCTATATTAACATGTTCGTCCAGTTTTTTATATTAAAAAAATCTATAAGATTTTCTTATAGAAATTTGTCATAGGGTACTTTTTTTTGAAATTTTATTTAACGGACTCATTTATTTAAATTATTAAATAAAGTCAAGATTGTACAAAAAGGATTTTAAAGTGAAATGTAATAAATTAAGCTAGGAGGGCCTGAAAGGCCGGCCAGACGGTTGTTCTATAATTCTATAATTTCTACTATATATTAGCGTAGTCAATATTGGTGTGCTCAATTGATTTATTCGCGGATAAAGCTATTTGTTGTACCGCATTTATACACACATGTCTGCACTAACATTTGGGGTAATGCTAATTTTTGTTAACGCATCAATACTTTATATTGGTGTAAATTTTTGTTAACGCACCAACATTTTCTGTCAGTATGAACCACCAAAGTGTAGGTGTATAGCTTTGGTGTAAGTTTGTGATACAAGTTTTGGTGTAAATGTAACATGGTTTTTTATATGCTCCTTGTGGTCAAAGGCGCTCCAACTTAAATTTGTGGAGCTTAGGAAAAATTATTGAGAATAATTTTAAATGTATTAATCTTTTGATATTAATCACGTACTGTGATGCATAATAGTTTCAGTTTTATGGATATTTGTGAGTTTTGGGTACGTAGCTGTTAAATAGCTAACGGCGGGTTAACGCAAAACGCAAATAACCTATTTTACGCAACAACTGTTGGGAAAAATATTATAGATTTTGATGATGATGTATTTAGAATGTATTAGGGACTTTAGGTCTCCCCAAATATTCAATGTAATTTTTCTTTTTAGAAATACTGTCAAAACCGAGCACTTGAGATTTCCAATAAAAGCTATGATATATCTTTAAGCGTTTTGATGCCTGAAAACTTAATCAAATTCAGTGATATGGAAATCGGATATCTTGTTCGGAAATGTCAGAGACAAGTAAGGATTTTCTCAAGCAAATGAAAATCCTCTGATCCGGAAGACTACATAAGAACCGGATGTCTCGCTACAACCCGCTGAAGTCTAAGTCATCCAAATCGGAAGACTAGCCCGGATCTCCTTCTCACCCGGAAGTCTGAAAATGACTCATCCGGATTTGTCAGCTAAGAATCAGAAGACTCACTGAAGACCGGAATTCTCAGAAAGCGGACAAGTGAGAAAAGACATAGAAAAATTATCTAAGTCCTGAATGAAGAAATTCTACTCGTTGGTAAGGAAAAATCAATCTCTTGATTTTCAACGGCTATATTGAAGATAATTATGCTGATTCAAGAACAAATGACTCGAAGACAAAGTCTGGCCCTCTAAATTGAAGAGCCTGTCCAGAATTCCTAAACAAGCACAAGAAGACAAACAGAGTAAAGTGCTACAGTTCAGAATTCTTGAACAACAGCTAGAAGACGGATTCTGAGAAAAATGGAATCACTTCTCAAACAATTGGGTATGTCCAAACACCCACTTCAACGAAGAATCTTCAAATCACAATCTTCATTCAAAATTGAAGCCAGCAAATGTAACAGATAGTCTATTATGATTCAACGGATAGATTATCCAATCCAGCTATAAATAGCATCCTTGGAAGACTGGAGAAGATATGAATGATAACGAGATACGTTGATACAACAACACAACAAAGAAAACTTCCAAGCTATCTCATTCACAGTTAGCACAAAAAGCTTGATAAAGAGATATTTCTAAACTCCTTATCCAGAAGCAAACTCCTCCTCCTTCCAAAGAGCTATAGTGCAAACACTTGAAGGTTTCCTTGCCTCAAGTACCACACCACGTTGAAGGATATAACTTTTTGATCAAACTTCTTGATTAAAAAGGGGGTAGGTCAACTTTCTTACAAGTTGATCTTGCAAGTCCTATTGTTTGGATCTTGCAGTTGTTGAAGAAGCGTGACCTTCGAAGGAACAACAAAGCTAGCACGAGTGCAGTAGCAACATTGGTCTTGCGAAGATATACCGTGCAGAAATTCACACAAGTGTAATTGTTGGTTCATTATTCAACAACCAACTACATAGTGGATTTTGAGGACGTAGAAGGATTACCCCACCTTCGAACCTCGTTAAAGTTTGCGTGTCTCTCTCTTTTATCTTTACTCTAACTTGCAATTACATTAACTGTGAAAACTAACCCA